TAAAAAAAAAAAAAAAAAAAACCTAACCAAGGATAGATGGTCTGAATAAAATGTTGTTTAAAGTTTTTAAAAGATAAAGTGTCAGCAGCATTGACTCTGAAATTATTCTAAGTACTACAAACAGTTCTAAGTTAGGTGTTTATCAAATATAACAGCATTTTTGCTTGCTTTTTTTAAATCAAACAGCAATAGCACCAGCAGAGTATGTGGCTAATACGAAAAAATTAGGCACTATATTAAGCGCGCCGCTGGATGCAGGTCGCTTCCAACCGGCCTATCTGGAACTCATTGGGGGAGGCCTATGTTCAGCATTGAATAATTGTAATTATCAAGGTTGTTATTATCTTTATGGCGCTCATTATTAGGACGACTAATAACTGAAAAAACTACATAGCTAATAAGATTTTGTTAACCTCTCGGGCGTTTCGTACACGGGTTTAATAGAAAGCGAATGAACTATACTGTTCAATCAAATAAAGAACGGGTTGCAATTTGAAAATATACATCACAGAAAAAGTTTCCAATCGGTGCAAGTCACTCTCGTACACCCGTGTGTACAATTGCGGCGATGGGCTCTCAACTCTCTCATAAACCCAAGAAACGCGCGAGAGGTTAAGGCCCAATAATAATAATTAGATCTCTTTTTGATTGATACAAAGTTTCACTCGCATCTTATTCTTTTAAAAAAAAAAATTCATCCAAATCTGTTCAGACTTTCTTGTGTGACTAAGTTCCAAATGTTTATCATCAAACACTAGCTACCCTCGAGCGGTTTATTCCGTTGCTCGGCTCTTATTTACGTGATATAGCCTATAGCATCCCTCGATAAAAGGAATATCCAATTCAAAAAAATACTCTTTTTTAGAATTCTTCTCCTTATCCTCTTGTATATATTTCCTCCATCTTTTAGCTTCTTGTCTGTCAAAACGCAGATCTACGCGAGACACGATGTGTTTTCTATTGTGTCTCATATATTGTATATAACTGACAAGAGGTTAAGGCTGTTCTATATAGACATTATCTACAAAGTCCCAAATATGAATCACATACTCGTTTCAATTGCAAGTTACAACATAATTTGAAATTTCTTAAAATGTTCAATATAATAACATAGCAGTTATAGATAAAATAAATAAAATGGAGCCATAGCCATCATAAATAAAATGGAGAGGGGTAAATCCCCGGGTCATGATGGACTCAGCATCGAGCACCTGAGGTATGCGGGGCGACACCTGCCGCGAGTACTTGCATTGTTTTTCAACCTGTGCGTTAGTCACGGTTACTTACCGGATGATGTGATGCACACAATGGTAGTACCTATTGTGAAAAATAAAACAGGGGATGTCTCTGACATTACCAATTATAGGCCCATTTCTCTGGCTACTGTCATAGCTAAGGTGTTGGATAGTCTGCTTGATAAACAATTGGCTAGTCACCTTGAATTACATGATGCCCAGTTCGGGTTTAAGCCTGGGCTATCAACTGAGAGTGCAATCTTTTGTCTCAAGCAGACTGTTCAATACTATACAGACAGGAAAACGCCTATTTTTGCTTGTTTTCTAGATCTCTCACGGGCATTTGATCTCGTTTGTTATGATGTTTTGTGGCGTAAACTAGAATCTGAAACTACATTGCCATCTGAATTAGTATCCATATTTAAATACTGGTACAGTAGTCAAAGCAATAGCGTGAAGTGGAATGGTTCGTATTCGGACGTGTATCGGTTGAAGTGTGGGGTGAGGCAAGGGGGGCTCAGTTCGCCCCGACTCTTCAACCTGTACATGAACCAGCTGATTGTTGGGCTTAGCAGCACCAATGTTGGATGTCATATTGACGGGGTGTGCATTAACAATATTAGCTACGCAGACGACATGGTGTTGATGAGCCCATCAATCGGTGCTCTGAGGCGACTGATTGCTGTTTGTGAAGACTATGCGGTGAATCATGGGCTCAAATATAATGTCACTAAGAGCGAACTAATGGTTTTTAAAGCTGGCAGTCTGACTTATCCATGTATCCCAGACGTAGCACTTTGTGGAGAACCACTGAGAAGGGTGGACAAATTTAAATATCTAGGCCACTGGGTCACTGAAGACCTTAAAGACAATTGTGACATTGAAAGGGAACGTAGGTCGCTGGCGGTCCGTTGCAACATGCTGGCCCGCAGGTTTGCGCGCTGTACGAAGCCGGTTAAAGTTACCCTTTTCAAAGCCTATTGTCAGTCTTTTTACACGTGCAGCCTGTGGGTCAGCTTCACTCGGCGGGCCTACAGCGACCTGCGCGTTCAGTATAATAATGCACTGAGGGTGCTGCTGCGGCTGCCATGGCGATGTAGTGCGTCAGGGATGTTTGCAGATAATAATATTGATAGTTTTTCCGCCATCATTAGAAAAAGATGTGCGTCCCTGATGGCTCGCGTTCGTGGCGGCACCAACAGCATTCTCAGTGTATTCGTAGATCGGTGGGATTCCCCGATGTGGGGAAGGTGGATACGGCTCCATGCCGAAATTTAATTCATGTAACCTACTAACACTAGAATTTAAGTTAAAATTGTTACTAACCCTAATTATGGACTCCGGTCTGAAATAAAAGTTTTCTATTCTATTCTATTCTATAGAGTACGATTTACGCCAAGAGCTAGTCAGATGTTTAGAAAATAAATAAATAATGAACCACAATAATTATAGTTTCGACATTACACCAATTTCTTAAACCACTACTGACATAAAATTTGCGCTACAGTATTTCGACATTAAAAATACAAAACATAGTATATATATATAAAATTATAATAAATATTTACTACATACATTATTTGCTGAAGCTTGTTGTTATAGGAGTGCACTACCCCATTATTTTTCTCGCTATGTCTAGCAAATATTCCTTAGAGTTGTACCGAATCTTGTACTTACACAAACTTTAAAAAGCCATTACATTTAATTGCACAATGTCTATCAAAATAGATCCAGTTTTACAATAATAGGTCACTAAAATACTGACTCATACTTAATCATCTTTGTATTATAGGAATATTATATACAAGCTTCTGGCAGCGGCTTCGCCCGTGTTCCCGTGGGATAAAAAGCAGCCTATGTGTTATTCCAGAACATAATCTACCACTGTTCCAAATTTCATCTCGATCCCTTCAGCCGTTTTGACGTGAAAGAGTAACAAACATACAAACAAACAAACACATACATCTTCACAAACTTTCGCACTTATTGGTATAATATTAGTAGGAAGTAGGATTAGAATAAATTATGTTCTGAAGCTTGATATAGTAAGAAAATATGTCCAGACTAACACAATAAACCTTAAAACAAGCTCAGGTCATAGTCTTTCAGCAATTTGATAGGAAAATACATAGATTATAATAAAACTATGCTACTACACTAACCAAAACTACGCTCACAGCAAAAATTGATCTAAACTACATTAATAACTAAAAAAATATCACACTCAAGTCTTTTTGGTATCTGTATCCAGTCTCCGTACAGCTGCTTCTAGCGAGAACAGGTGGTCATCTTCAACATCAGGAGCTAATTCTCTCATGGCGGCCGCTAAATTGTATAAATACTCCTTGTTGGTTCCACTAGGACCTTGGCAGCTTAACACCTGTTTTGCTATCTCCTCTATCGATGCTTCGCCTGAAAAAAGTTTGTATTTTTGGTAAGTATTTAGTTAACTAAAAATCGCGGGTTACTCGCGTGAATATACTTAGAAAAGCTTTACTAGTTTCGGACCACAGAGGGGTTCTTCCTCATGAACAGCGTGCACGGTCGCGACGATGAACCCCTCTGTGGTTCGAAACTAGTAAAGCTTTTCTAGGTATATTCACGTGTGTAACCCGCGATTTTTAGTTAATTTAGTATGTCTCACGATAGTTATTATAAAAACAGAGTATTTAGTTCTCTATATAGCAAACTCATCTATCTTCATAATATAAAAACGAATCTCTGAATTTGTTGCTAAGCGCAAATCTCGAGAACTGCTGAACCGATTTCTCTAATTCCTTTATAGTTGGTTTTGTAATTCTTAGTTTCCACTAAGAATTACATTACTAAGAACCTTCCGGTTCTTATATAATAATAAAAAAACAATTTTTTCAAGGCGATACAATATTCGCGGAGTCAACTAGTAAATATAAATATACAAAGTAGTTAATATAAATATTATGAAGTGCCTACAAAAATGGAATAGCAACTTGTCTTTTAGTACAATTACATGATACATCATTATTAAAGATGTTACAAGATATTAAATCAATACAAATATGAATTGTAATCATTGTTGTTTTTTAATTTTTATATTTCATATACTTACATTTATTTTTAAAAACTAAGTACAAAATAGAACAATATGTTATAATATGATAATGTAAAATATCTCTTTTTAAATCCAGTTTATTCACAAGTGTCTCGATAGATGGCGCTATAGATTAGTTAGATTAGATGGGTGAAACAGAAGAATTTTATGAAAAGATAGCTTTGATGTTGTCTTCCATGTTAAATATATATTATAATTCCCATCGTATTTCATGGAAGGATGAAAAGTGCTAAGTTAGAGGCAATAAGTAACAATAATAACAGAGTAGTTGTGATCAGAAGTCCGAGTCGTTCAAAAATTATAGTACAGAAATCCTAGTCACTTTACAGTGACTAACGTATTAAAATAAAAATAACACCTAACCCACCTGCATAAGATTCATTATCTTCCGTTGCGACATACAAAGTCAACTGGAATGGTTCTATATTATCTTTAGGATGGAATGTGACAGTTCTCTTGCTGTACCCATTTTTCTCTCTGAAGTCCAAGTGTTGGGAAACTTGAGCTGCATCTTCAGATCTTATTTTGTAAGCTACACCCCATACTTTACTGTTTGAGTCATTGCTTTGTATTAGGGTCACTACCCTGCCTGGCTGGAAAGTAAGTTGTAAAAATTAGAAAATTAAATAATGTACCTAGATAGTAAAGTCGTAGAATTCTACTTTTTATTTTGTTTGTTACTTTCAGCTGTTTATAAGTTGGATCAAAATAGTATACAATGTTTTATCAATTACATGGGGAATAACATAACTGGTTACCTCTTCAGGTGGTTAAACATCGACCTAGTATAAAAAAAGGGTATAAAATTTTTAACTAATCAAATCAAATCAATTTATTTGTGAACACAGGTTATACAGAAGGTTGTTTAACATACATTAATAGCATCTCTATGTTCTACCAATAAAATTGGTGTACAAATAGTTATTAAGTTAGGCAGGTACCAAGCATTATTAATATATTTAAATTAAACAAGTCTATAAGAATCGTGATAGTATGTCAAAATTTATCATTTAGAAATAGGTCAATAGAATAATATGTCTTGTCAATTAAAAATAATGTCAGTTTTCGTTTAAAAAGTCTAATATTATTTTCGTTTCTTATATATTTAGGCAGTTTATTATAAATTTTTGGAGCCATTGCAAAGATACTGTTCCTGTACAGTGCAGTTCTAGATTTTAATAAGTGTAACTGGTCACAACGACGTTGACTGGTTACTCGGTCAAAATTATTAAAATTGTTTTTGACGAACGTACCAGTTTCATAGATGTATAATGAGGGGACCGTCAAAATTTTGAGGTCTTTAAAGAAAGTGTAGCAGCTGTCGGTAGACTGCAGATTACAAATAGCCCTAATGCATCTTTTTTGACACTTGAATACCATTTCTTTACCGGTTGCATTCCCCCAGAAAATTATTCCATATCTTAATGTTGATGCTACTAGACCATGGTATGCTGTCAACACTGTTTTTCGGTTTGCAGTTTTATTTAACATGTGAAGAGCATAGGAATATTTATTTAACTTATTACACACTTTATCTATATGAACATCCCATTTCAATGTTTTCTGTATACTTAGTCCTAGAAATTTTGTTACATTTGTTTCATTAATACTTTTTCCTTGATATTGTACGATTAAATTTTTGTATTGATCCATTCGCTGTTCAAATTTCATTATTGCCGTCTTATCTAGGTTTATGATTAAATTATTATGTTTTAACCAATTTACAACAGATTCAATGTTAACATTTATATCTGCTTCTAATGTTTCTAAGTCATCACCATCAAATAGTAAGGTACTGTCGTCTGCAAACATGGTCATTGGATATGTTGATGATGTTGGAAAGTCATTTATGTAAATAATAAACAGAGTCGGGCCAAGGACACTACCTTGTGGTACTCCGTAAGTAACAGTTCTCTGACCAGACCTATAAGTTACCTCACTATCTTTAGTGATTCTACTGATAACTGTCATTTGCCGTCTGTTATGTAGGTAGGATTCAATTAGACTCAATACGTTTCCTCTAATTCCATATGCATTTAGTTTACTTAGGAGTATTTTATGATCAACGCGATCGAAAGCCTTTGTCATGTCCATGTAAAGTGCTACAGCTGGTAATTTCTTATCTACTTGACTGCTAACTTTATCTAGAAAGTCGTATATGGCCATATCAATTGACTTGTTCTTCCTGAAGCCTTTTTGATTGTCAACTAGTAAATTATTTTTTTCAAAATATGAAGTTATTTGATTATTAATTACTTTTTCAAAAATCTTAGAAAATATTGGTACCAGAGCAATAGGTCTGTAACAGGACATATTTTCTCTGTTGTCTTTCTTAAAAAGCGGTTTTATTATAGTAATTTTTAATTCACTGGGAAAAGTCCCACACTCTATGCTCAAATTAATGAGATAACTCAATATTGGTGCAATAATGATGGATACGTGTTTTATAATTTTAGTAGATATATCATCGTACCCAGTGCTAGCCGTGTTTTTGAGCGACATTACAATACGATGGATGTCAACCGGTGAAGTAGGGGACATGAACATCGAAGTATTTTTATTATTATTAATCGTCATTTTATAAGTGTCAATATTGATATGGTCAGTTAATTTTACTTGATCTACAAAGAAGTCATTAAAAGCTTCTGCTATTGCGTCAGGATTAGTTAATAGTTTTTGATTACTTTCGATTTTCATTATATATTCATTTGGTATAGTGGTTTTGTTCCTACTGATGACTTTCCATGTGGCTTTCCCTAGATTCTGAGCTGTACTGATAAATTTATTATTGTGTGCCCTCTGCGTAAGATTTATTACTTTTTTAAAACGGGTCGAGTGATTTTTTAGATTCAGTTTATTTTGTTCATTTGGCAACCTACGGTACTTCCATAATAATTGTCTTTTCCTTTTGCTACAAATCCTAATACCGCGGCTTATCCATTTTGATTTTATTTTAGTACACATTTTAATTCTGATAATCGGAAAACATAAATTATAAAGCAATGCAAACCACTCATAGAACAGCTTGAATGCCTCATTTGAATCCGGTTCCTGATACACATCGGAAAAAGTAATGCTCTTAAGATAGTTTTTAAATTTATCTATGTTTTCCATAGAGTAGTCTCGTCTTGTGGTAAACCAGTGATCTAAACTGCATGTTTTTTTAACTGGGCACCGTAGAACTTGAGCTGTATGATCAGATATTGCTAGTTCTAAGACTTTACCCCTGGCTCCCCGCACATTATGGATTATATTGTCTATGCATGTACCACTACTCAATCTAGTTGGTACGTTTATATCGAACTTAAGATTGAAGCCTGTAATTAGATACTTAAATTGTGTAGAATTGTAAGTGTTTTTTAGTAGGTCGATATTGAAATCACCGCACAGTACCACCTTTCTATTTATATGAAATGAAACTGAACTTAAAAGATTATTTAGATTATTAAAAAATATTTCAAGGTTTCTCTTTGAATTGTTGCTATGCGGGCTTCTGTATACACAGATTACTATTATGTTATGATCTGTAAGTTCGACTGAGCAACACTCAATTACATTTGGGACACTGTATCTTTCCATTGACTCCAAAACTCGATACTTAATTCCGTTTCGTATCATAATACAAGTACCACCATGTCTAGATTTTCGAGTGAAAAAGGTTACAAGATTGAAGTTAGGAATAAACAGCAGATTTACATCATCCAAAATCATATTATGCTCGGAGAAACACAGTACATCAATAGTTTCACCCAAATCACACAACTCATCCAATGCAACAGTAAACATAGCAGATTTATTTAAAAGCCCGTTTATGTTTTGGTGCATTATGGTTACATTGTTATACACGAAAGTTATGGTTTTGAGAAGAGTTATTTTTATTATTGAAACGTCCTATGACAGGTTCAGAATGAGCTACTGACATCTCAGTTATAGTTAGCAATACATTTTGTAAAACGTTACACATTCCATTATTATTTATTGTTCTTTCTACTTTTGAAAACATTGTGTAATCGTATTCTAAACTCAGATTAGTATCAAAACCAAATGCATAGTTAAACGTTTGTAAATCCAAGTGTAACAAATTATTAAAAGTTTCTATACGCCAGTTATACATCGAAGAATAATTACTCAATTTAAAAGTGGGTACACATATAATAATATTTGTATGCTGTACTGTAAGTAGTGCCTCTCTCAGTTTGACAATTATGTCCACATAATTTTTTGTTCTTTTAAAATCCTCTTCTCCGATCAAAATAATGCAGTAATCTTCAAAATTATAATCTATCAGTTTTTTATTAATATCCCTAACAAGATGCACAGTATCACAGTTAGGCGAGACATAATGACAGATTTGATAGTTATGAAATGTTTCCTGAGCCAGAGACAGTACCTTATTAGTTTTGTTTGTGCTAATGATGCATAACTTCTTTGTGGTGTCAAACACGACATCACCGTCACCTTTGCTCTCGTGCGGAGCCGTGTATCGCGAGCTAGTGCTCAAATTACTTGCGCTGGTTTGTATTGATTCCACCCGCAAGTTTTTCTTAATTTGGCCTCTTTTTGGTTTGTTTTGTTGACTGCTTTTAGGTGTTGATGTTTGTGAGCCTTTTCTGGGTGTGTGTGCTTCACTTGATAGTTTTTTAGTGGCTTTCTTTATAACCTCGTTTATAGTCGTCAATTCGCCCAATGACTTCCTTAGTTCAGTATTTTCGATGTTTAGATTTTTTATTTCTTCATGTGCCGAATTGAGTTGTGATGTTAACTGTTCTATTTGACTTTGAAGTCCTTGTACATATTCGTTACTTTCATCCTTTGATATGTTTGGTAAGCTACTTGTGCTGCCATCTATTGTCGAACTATTGAGACTATTTTCTTTCGACTCATCATTCAAAGAACGCGTTCTTGTTTTTCGAAACGTTATATTTTCAAAGAAGTTCATTTTTGAAGAAATAAATAATTTACGATGTAATAAATACCACAAAAAGAAATCCTGTTAGTGGGAATCGAGCTCGAAACTTCACAATTTTAGTAATCCGAGGAGGACGTTTTAACCATTACGCCACTCGTACATTAACTAATGTGGTGAAATTAATCTTGTATTTATTTATTATGAACAATCATGTCAGAGATACCTTCAATAGGTTGTTTTGAAGGTAATTTGAAAATAATTAAAATATACTATAATTAATGGTGTTTGTTTACAATAATATTGAAGTTAGTCACAGGGATTGTCGTCAAGACGTTTTACACATATTATTTTGTTCACAGTTACTTCCTTTTGGTTCTCGAACACTGCGTGATTGGTTTAGCTTTTACAGTGGAGAACAGATGTTTACGTTTCGTGACAACAGTACATATCTCTAAGACGCTTATAGCTATTCACTTGTCAATAATGTCACTTGTTTATCATCACTAATAGTTCTTATATTATCGAATTAAGCACTTAAACTGAAGTATTTAAATTTAATTTAATAATAATATACGGAGCTTAATGTTGATAGCACGGTGCGAGTACCCTCACACATTAACTCTGCTATGTAATTTTGTTATTAGTGAAATGAATAACTAGAAACTCTTTGGTTTTTTTAAATGAATATTTAATGAATTATTATACTAAAAAAATATTAATACTTTTTTTAGTATTTTACTGTTTTTGTTATGTTAATTTTTCCTTCAATTTGTGTCATGTGTGCTTACTGTGCTTCTATAAAATCAATCTTTTAACTCTTTGTTTTCATAACATAAGAAATAAAAAGAATAATAATTAATATACTTGAAATTCCTCTCTCTGCAGCCCTGACCACCAGCAGCTTGGATTTCTCCAGTTACTGGTGGGCTACTGCTTTTTATATTTGTAAATGTATATATATTATATCAAATATTTAAAAATATACTAACCTAGTAAAGAAAATAAATAAAGGATGGTAAAATAAAGTTAAAGGTATTTATTTTTTATATATCTGATGATGGGCCTACGCTTGGCCAGTACCTCGCCTGGTGGTAAGCGATAATGTTAAGAAAATTAACACAATAGTAAAACAACAACAAAAGGATTTGTAATATTTAGTAGGCAGGTAGTGAGTTACCATGTGGAACTTTTTGCAAATTTATTAAGTACCGTAAAAAGGGGTGAATAGGGATCGAGAGGTCCACATTGTTCTTACAGCATAAATAGCTCATAATAATAAATAATGATATTGCTATAATAAAGAGATTTTTAATTTTTTATAAGTTAAGATTTTAATAACTTAATCATAAAGCTACAGTGAGGTATAATTAACTCGTCGAGCACCGTCAATATAGACATAATTAAAGAACAATAGGTTGCGGTCACCGGTGACCGCTTGGTGTTTGACAGTTTAAGTACTTACATTAATTTAATACTTCAGAATATCAGAAAGCTTTTTTAAGAAGTTAAGTAGGTGAATACTAACCTAAGTAAATATTAGAACGAGATTAATTATAGAAGTTAACTACTAATGGGTTTCTGTTACACGTTCTTTCATGAACTCATGGTTATGTAAAACTCGTATTGATATGGTTCACAGCCTTTCGTAGAATAGGACCTGTGCTTGGTGGCTTTATGGCAACCAGCAATTACCAAATAAAGACTTTGTTCTTATTTTGTTTAATACTTTTATGGGTTTTTTTCTACTTACTTTCTCAGGTACACCTCGGTGGTCAATGCTGTGTTGGTAAAATCGGCGTAAATAACCTTTTATGTAACCTACTAACTTGTATTCAAATTTGAAATCTGCCTTCCACACGAGTGACCCATATCCAAATATCCACATTATTATTCCTTTTTTCGTAATTAGCAGCTGGTTTTATAGTTTCAATTTACTTAAAATCTAAGCTATGAATCAACCAATTTTTGTTAATAATTAATTATAGTCAGAATTTTAATTAGATTCCAGATTTGACAATAGCTACTGTCATTTTGTGAAATAATGATACCACATATAATAGTGTAGTGATGAACACAAAAATCGATAAACAATCAGTGTGTGTGTTTTATAATAAATGTTACAAAAAGTGACAGGATAGCGACAGCGATGACGGCGACAATTTATAAAATAACTTATTACCATAATACATCTATCTGTTTTATTTGTCATGTTCCTTCATGATTACATTTTTTTATTTATTTCACACACAATTATAAAAGAAAAGTCTCAGATCGTTAATTAATCGTCAAAACTAAATTATCGGTTCAGAAATATTTAATTTCCTGATATATTTAGTTTACGAGACTAAAATTATAAACGAGAAAAATCGATCCAGAAATTTTGCATTTCCATATCGAATAATTTCGTAACGTCACTATTTAGTACTTGTCATAACATTGCAACACTGAAATTGTCAAATATGGAATCGAATTAAAATTCCGAGTATAGTTTTGTCAACAAATCAGATGTCAAAAGTTTGTGTTATACTGACAAAGTTCAGTCAGATGTCAATGACAAAAACAGCAATGTCATTATTTTAAAGCCTTCCACAAACCACTCACCACACTGACCACGCACGTCAGTTAGTTTATTAAGCTTTGTGGACAATGTTTTTGTATTTTCAATATTGTAGACTGTTTCTCATTACGGTTATTTCTGTGAAAATTGATTATAAAAAGGTCATTGTTATAGTAATTTTGAAGGTACATAATCATGTCATTAGACCTCAGAATTTATTAGTTATAAGGCTGTGGTACAGCCAGATAGAACATTCAATCATGTAAATTTGAATAAATTTACACTGGACTTTACCTACTACAACTATTCGGTACTCCTTTTTGTGAGCAGAATCAACGAGAAACTTTCGCCTTGTAAGTACTAGGTGCCTACCTGCCTAATAGTGTCACCATTGGTAGGCACGTCGTCTTTTAACGTTAGCGAACTGTACCTACCCAAAAAATTGGTATATATAGATCCAATGGAGGAAATATAAAGAATAATTTATCGTCTTTTTACTTCAGAAAGTCAGAATGTCGATCTTCTTGGTACGGGACTATTGCTACTCTTTGGGCCTATCTATCAATGCGATTTCTGTTGATAGTTCAAATATGTCATCTTTAAATCTGTAAAACGTTAAAATTATGTTGATTTTCAATACCATCAGATTAAAATGATTCTTGGTGAGATCCCAAATAGTATCCAATGATTAGAAAATGAAATAGATATACAGAATAGCAGGCTCTATGTCTGTAGCTCAGAAACTGTGTGATGAAATTGTGGAGCCTGCGTTTAGAACACCCCCTAATGTATTTAACACGTCCAGAAAATATTTGTTTCCAACTTCAAGCAGTAAACGCTACAACCTTCCATATACCAATTCAGGTTCAGCTACCAGATCCATAGTAATACCGAAGAAAAGGCAATCTGTCAATAGACCGTTACCGCGTGAAGGCATTCTCTCCAAATCTTCTTTTCGATCGAAGGGCAGGGGTTATGAGGTTTCAATCTACGACAAAGATTTTGTTGACACAGCCATCAACACAATTGTGACTGGGCCTTTGACGTGTGATCATGATTGCGTTACAAATGTCCGCAAACGCGATACTGGTAATCATAACTGTAGCTGCAAATGCTCTCATAGAAAACTCTTTAACTGTAGAGCGATAGCGAAACAAGTGCAAACCGTTAATACCAGGAATTACTTATTTGCGGACAAGGCCTGTTCTCAAGTGGTGGAGACGATGAGTTGTGGTACCCAGTTTCTAGAAAGATTGAGCCATGCTAGTAAACGGGAGAGACGGCATGAAAAGATGCACAATCACAACTGCACTATGGCAGAATTAGCTGCAAGGCAATCTGGTTATGCAAAACTTATGAAGGAATCAGGCGCTGTTCTTGGTCAACAAGCTCATGTGATCATGACTAGTGGGAAACGTTGGGCCCTTAATCATTTTCCTGTTCATGGTCCCGACTTTTAAAAAACTATTGTTTCAATGTTTAAATAAATAGTAAATACTTAATTAAATCCTTTATTATTTATTAATAATAATTTTTCACTAACAAAAGTAGATAACCAGGCCAGGACCAGGCAGGTAGGTAGGTATCTACCTTAACACGTTAAACGCCATGGGGGTCACCGGTGACCGACGTTAGCGGAGGATTTACCTTCAACAGTTTTTTATTGGCAGTCAAAGTCTTAACTACCCGGTTCATAAGCCAAACGGTTATTTGAAAAAGTTATTTGACGATTAAAATCGATCCACCGTAGGCGTGGGACTGCGGACGAAGAGCATGGGTGGCTCCGCGTCCGACCAGAAACAGACCCGAGCGTACGGCGCGTCGACTTCTGCGCGCGCCTCAAAGAGCCATCAGACCACCACAGATGGGGCCCAATAGGGCCGATGCCGATTCGGAGTCGCGGAGAACCTAACGGGTAACCGGGGCTCCGGCTCGACGTGCAGGAGAAGGAACGGGGTGGTTTTTCGTCAGTAAAAGTCTGACACTCCCTCCCGCCTCACCCAGGCGGGAGCAGTCATTCGATGATTTCCCCCCTTTAAAATAAAACCTAATAAGTTACATAAACCTTAAGTAGTAACTAAAATCTTACGATAGTTATTATCAAAACAGGTTAAATCTTTTAACAACCTACCTAAAAAATAATTTCGGTAACCTACGCTGCCTTACAGCAATTTTTATTTTAGTTACAAGAGCAGTTACGACAAAATACCTATTTATTTATTACACAAAGCAGAAGTCGTATAAAATCACACTATCCATAACCTATTGGCAAATAAGGTGGTTCGCAGATACTCCATTGAGTCTCTTATCTTATTTATTGTTAGACTTTTTAAAATAAAACTTCGCTCAATGAAAGCTTGCAAATCCTTACTAATATTATAAATCGGAAAATGAGTACGGATTAAATAATAGGGTACTTTTTATCCCGGAAAAATGTGATATTCCCGAGGGAAAACAAAAGTATTGGTATAGATGGTGCTGTGTGTATTGGTATATGTCACATAGGCTACTTTTTATACTTTTGTGCAAAGCTAGTGTAGTAATAAATTGAATAGGAACTGCCGGTAAAATATTGGAAACCCGGATGTTTTTTCTTTGTAGGACAAAGAACCTAAGAACTTATCTGAATGGTTCATGGTTTGAATATTGCTTACTTTTGTTCCAAGCTACGATATTGACCTACTGCAGGTTTCCCTACCCTTCTCCATATATTTACCTGCGACTAATCCTCGTAGGCTGCAGGTGTCAAGTCAGTGTGGCCAGCTTTTTCTGGGTCTGCTACCGCTGCACCATCGACGTCTATGTCGACATAAGCTGGTCTACACTCAGTACCTACCTACCTAATAATTATTATAATTAGTCGGTTTGTAGGTAGGTACATATACCTACCACGTATCCTTACCTATATTTTATCTATGCTTGATGTTTTGTACCTACATGTATACTGTAGATCAAGTTTTTTGTTTAAGTAACTACGTAGAGATAAAAGTTCCAAGAACTACTTATCATCACGCCTTTTATTCTTCGAAGGGATGGACATGGATCAGGGACAACAAAATAAATCTAAATATTTTCCATTCTCATGTCATAAATCCCAAGTGATTGGGGGCTTTCAAAGTCTAAGTGTAGACACTACACAAAATATCGAGCAACATTTTTAATTTTTTATGGAATAACAGGCAAACGAGCAGACGTATCACCGGATGGTAAGCGGTCAGCGCCGCCCATGGACACCCGCAACACCAGAGGAGCCACAGGTGTGTTGCCGGCCTTGAAAGACAATGAAAGACAGAAAAGAGTTAGAAATAGTTTACTCGAGTTAGATACTAGCAGATACCAAGTTAGTATGTAGATAAATCGTGTATAAATGGTGTCTATAATGTAGGTAGGTACCTAATCAATAGCTCCGTATGTTGAGCTGCTTCCAGTTTCTGCGTGGAAATAATGGGACCTATTAGGAAAGCTGTACCTAACCTCGAGCGCAGTGGCGTAATTAAACGGTGGTAAATCGGCAATATGCCACGAGTCCCCGATCAGGGGGCTTACTCTTGAATCAAATTCCGATCGATCGACATTGATATTGTGAAATTTAGTAGGTACTCTTGAGTTACAACACTAGCGCCCATTGCATTCATATTGCGTGGATATTGAATGAAATAAATGGTATTAAGTTTGGCTTTATATTCCGTACTCTGAATGCTATTTTAACAGCTACGATTGGGGTTGTATAGGTTTGTCATTGAATAATTATTAAGATTTTATAGGATTAAAATTGCATTGATATTGAGATTGGTTTTAAGAGTAAGCACACTTAGGTTTTCATCAAACTTGTTTTATATTGAGAACGGGGGCCCATCTGATGAAAATGCCACGGGCCCCGTAGGATATACTTACTATTCGTGCGTAGATTTTTAGAATCTGTAGTAGCGTATAGATTGAATAAGGCAATATCACGCTTCAATCCCGGAAGGGTGGGCATAAAAATTAACACCCACTGTACGTACGACGTATGAACCTATCACACCATACTTCCGACACCATTCTAAACTCGAGCTAATTTTAAGACTTCAAGAAAGCATGTTTACTTTACGTGATCATTTCCTTTGACTAAGAA